ATTGAGAGGTTCGCAAAAGTGGTCAAATGCTGTCGGAACACCAACTGATACGTTGTTTAAATGGATAAATTATCATTTGTTAAAATGTATGTTAAATTTGTTGTGCTGATAGTTCGGAGAACTTACATAAAATTTAGAAAGAGTATACCAGATAACATTGGAAATAACACAAAAGTCAGTGTTTTCATTAATGACAAATGGAAAGAAATCCTCCTTTCAGAAAATGGTTTAAATATGTGCAGTTTTGGAATGTCATACACAATTATAATATGTTTTATTGGCGAGGAAGTGTGGGAGTGATTCGGCTCATGAGGTAAAATTTTAAAACATTTACATTAAACTTCATTAAATACTGCGTTATAATATTATTTTTGACACAACCCACTTGCTTTGAAAATCATTATTTTTAATTTTTCATACACAATAACTAAATATAAAATTATCTCTTTCACATACGACGTAATATACGCATCTGATTAATTGTGAAAGTTCTCCTTTTAAAATTAATTAATAAACGAGGATTCATTGTTCTGACAATGTCAATAAAATTATGAATCTCCTAGTTACAATGCGAACTGATATTCCTTGCAAAAATCGTTGTGTCACTAGTCTGTCATTACTCACAATAAATCTCATCACAATGATATGTGATTTTGTGTCAATAATCGTGCTTGAAGACAATACTTGTCGATGTGTTTGTTTTTTTTTTTTTTTTCATCGCCCATTATGACAATGAAGTGTCACGTAATTATATTTAATGAAGTGACGCATAAGTACATGTATTTTACAACAAAATCTATTTGAAGTACCTACACATACACCCACATAGATGAGCTATAAGTGGGTGTCTAAAATAAAACACACGTACACGTATAATGTCAATAATTACATCATGAAGTTTAGGACTGCAGAGTGAATCTTAGGGCTCGGGGCTTGAAGATGTACGAAATTAAAGCTGAAACAGTTATAGGTCATATGTGCAGACAGCAATCTTAATTCCATATTTCAGGATTTCAGTTCTATCGGTTTACTCAAATCCAAATTGTGCCAAATTAAGTACCAGTTAGTACACATACGTAAAAAATTTTATTTCACCATACAATCCAACCAAATTTCAGGACATCAACTCCATCGGTTCTCCCAAAATTCAAATTGTACCAAATTTATTACGATTTAGTACACATAAGAACGAATTTCCTAAACTGCAGACATACTTCAGTCCTACAATGCATTAGTAATCGCATTTCTGACATTTTCGACATTCCAGCTCTATCGTTCGCCTAAATCGTAAGTACTTTTCGTAAGTACAAATCTTGAAAACCACCAATTCTACTCTCCGCCGGTAATGTTAATTTCAAATTCTAGCTCCAACCGTTCTTTCAAGTTCGAATGGTACCAAATTTAGTGCTGTTTAGTACTTTTCGTATACATGAGTACACACTTCCAAAACTACCTCCTTACCTCGACTCTGCTTTTCCACCGTGATTCCCATTCCAATTTTTGATTTTTGGCTCGAGATTTTTACAAATATGAAATGGTACCAAATATATTACATTTTAGTACTTTTCGTACACTTGTAGTGCGAATTTCCAAAAAAAAAACTTTGGTACATTCATTATACACATCTGTGTCCCACAAATCAAATTTAAGAGTTCTAGCTTTAGTAGCTCGCCATATACATCGGACCAAGAATAACTTTCGCCCAAAATTTTTAGTTTGAGCCGTTTCGTATGGGCGTTGATAAATCGTAAAGTCAGTCAGTCAATTGCTTTACTCTTTTTATACCCTCCACCAAAAAAAAATATGGAGGGTATATTAAGATTGTCATTCCGTTTGTAACTCATCGAAATAATCATTTTAGACCCAACAAAGAGTATATATTCTTGATCAGCGTAAAATTCTAAGACGATTTAGACCTGTCCGTCCGTCTGTCCGTCTGTTGTAATCACGCTACAGTCTAAACGAATTAAGATAGGAAGATAAAATTTTGCACAGATCTCTCTTTTGTCTGCAGGCAAGTCAAGTTCGAAGATGGGCTATATCGGTCCACGATATCGTATAACCCCCATATAACGGTACCCCCCGATATTCGGTATTTTGATGATTTTACCCACATTTTTTAGCGGAATTGTCTGAAAATCCACACAAGGAGTTCCTTGTGTGTACTTTATACCTCGGCAGAGAATTATCTATATAGGTCCATGAAATCGCATAGCCCCCATATAACGGTACCCCCGATATTTGGTATTTTGATGATGTTAGCCACACTTTTGAATGGAATTGTCTTAAAATCCACAAAAGGAGCCCCTTGTGGGCATTTTACCCCCTGAGAGAGAATTGTTTATACAGGTCCACGATATCGTATATCCCCCTTATAACGGTACCCCCGATATTCGGTATTTTGATGTTTTTAGCCATATTTGTCAACGGAATGGTCACAAGGGGTTCTGTGTACACAAGGGGTTCTTTGTACACAAGGGGTTCTTTGTGAGCACTTTACCTCCCGACAGAGAATTCTCTATATAGGTTAACGATAACGTATAGCTCCCATATAACGGTACCCCGCGATATTCGGTATTTTGATGATTTTAGCCACATTTACCAATCGTATTGTCTGAAAATCCACACACGGAGTTCTTTGTGAGCACTTTACCCCTGAAACGGAATTGTCTATATAGGTTCACAATATCGCATATCCCCCATATAACGGTACTCCCCTAAATTCGGTATTTTGATGATTTTAGCCACTTTTTCTAATGGGATTATCTGAAAATCCACACAAGGAGTTCCTTGTGAGTACTTTACACGCAGACATAGATTTGTCTTTATAGGTCCACAATAAATTAAAATTAAATTAGATATTTTAAAGATTTGAAAAAATTTTTAATGGATTTTATTTTATTTTTTTTTTTTTTTTTTTTTTTTGAAAAATTTCTAATTCGTTCCAAATGGTGGAGGGTATTCAAAGTTCGGCCCAGCCGAACTTACTGCTTTTTTTTTTTTTTTTTTATGTGTTTGTTTTCTCTTTCGAGACGAGCTTAATGATCTGAAATTTGCAGTGAAAAGGAAAGCCAGATAGACACTATCACACACTCACCACTATGCGACGCGTTTCGCCGTTGGTTAAGCGGCTCATCAGGCATATTAGGTGTGGATGATGGCTTACAAGGGCCGTTCTCTGGAAAGTAGTATATATTTCGAACTTATTGCAAATTAGCATATGCGAATTATACACTAGAAACTCTCCAGGTTCGACTCAAGTTCTATTGGCAGATCTTTTTCACAGCAAAGTTTTGTTTTTGTAGTGATGGATTTTTTGTCCACAACAACTACATTGCTTCCAATGCATACACTTGTTTTAGTGCTGCTTTAGGAAGACGGGTTAATGGCTCTGAACGTAGAGACGGCAACTTCTAGTTGGCTGCACACCGAGGTCCGCGGTTCAAATCCCACAGCCAGGCTCGGCTGAATTTTTGAGTTTTGCCTTGTTAAGGCGAAGATCATATGTTTTATGATTTATGTGTTTGTTTTCTCTTTCGAGACGAGCTTAATGATCTGAAATTTGCAGTGAAAAGGAAAGCCAGATAGACACTATCACACACTCACCACTATGCGACGCGTTTCGCCGTTGGTTAAGCGGCTCATCAGGCATATTAGGTGTGGATGATGGCTTACAAGGGCCGTTCTCTGGAAAGTAGTATATATTTCGAACTTATTGCAAATTAGCATATGCGAATTATACACTAGAAACTCTCCAGGTTCGACTCAAGTTCTATTGGCAGATCTTTTTCACAGCAAAGTTTTGTTTTTGTAGTGATGGATTTTTTGTCCACAACAACTACATTGCTTCCAATGCATACACTTGTTTTAGTGCTGCTTTAGGAAGACGGGTTAATGGCTCTGAACGTAGAGACGGCAACTTCTAGTTGGCTGCACACCGAGGTCCGCGGTTCAAATCCCACAGCCAGGCTCGGCTGAATTTTTGAGTTTTGCCTTGTTAAGGCGAAGATCATATGTTTTATGATTTATGTGTTTGTTTTCTCTTTCGAGACGAGCTTAATGATCTGAAATTTGCAGTGAAAAGGAAAGCCAGATAGACACTATCACACACTCACCACTATGCGACGCGTTTCGCCGTTGGTTTTTACTTGTTTGAAAATTGTTAATTTGTGTGAAGTGTGTCCTAAAGGGACTGGATTAATAAGGTCTACGATTGACGGCAGAAATATGGCAGAAAAATTACAATAAGCTATGTTTGGAGAATAACGGTTTCAAATTTTATAAGAGTTATTTTAATTTAAAATGTCGTTTTCTCTGAGATACTTAATGTGTAGCTCCACCAAGTTTGACATACCCAACAAAATTTCAAAAAATGCGTAACCCTTAGGCCAAGAAGTAACACAGTATGTATTTTGAAGTTAGTTAGCTATGTTAGACCAAAAAAAATGCAATATAACTTTTGGCCAGACTTCAAATTATAAATTAAGTTATTTTCTGCAAACTGCATATGTATATGTTTGTGTAACATACACGTGTGTATATAATTGTATTTGTAAGACTATAATCTTACATGAAACCATTCTCCTTAATGCAGACTTACTTATATACTTACTTGCCGTGGAGACGATGATGATGATGATGGATGTAATGTGGATAGACATGTATGTCGATATTTTTGCCTGACATACACAAATGTTGTAAGACATTGTAAATATGTATGTATGTAGCATCTTAAGCTGTCTTCATGTGTAGTTTGTGATATGTGTGACATGCATACAAATTAAATTATTTATGATGATTTTTAATATGCAAAGACATCTCTGAATATGTTAAGAAAATTGAAAAGAGCAAAGCAAAGCAAACACCGAAGAGAAATATTTCGAAATTACATTTATTCATTTATTTATTTATTGACAAAATTGACTTACAAACGAATTCAAGTAAAGAGTTTCATAAAAAAATAACTAAACCGGCATTTTCTTTGTCCTCTATTTTTGCAGATATTGGGCTGTCACAAACATAGACTACATGCATTCACGAACCAGCAAACGTGTCTTTCTTATGATATTTTTCGTTTGGACAGCAGCAGTGATAGTATCGCTGGCACCGCAATTCGGCTGGAAAGATCCAGATTACTTGCAACGTATCGAACAACAGAAATGCATGGTTTCACAAGATGTATCATATCAGGTGAGTAGAAATAAAATATGACATCATTTAAATTATATATTTTGAAAGCATTTTTTTAATGCTGAGTAAGGAAAATAACTTTAAATATTCAATAGGCAAAAGAATAAGTTATGCTAAGATGAATTATAGTCAAATGAAAGATTAAAACTAATGTAAACAAGGCCAGTATTGTTGTTTATATGGTACATTGACCTGCGCTTATAATAAACCAGTAAAGAAAGTCCTAAAGTCGGGTGGGGCCGACTTTATGATACCCTACACCACTTTGCTAATTTAGTAGAGCTCTACATAACAATTAAAAGTTTTTATGGAAGAATTCAATCATACACGCTATGATTTTATTTATAATTTAAAGTTCAAAGGCCTAAATATGGCGAAGCATTTGTATCTTCTAAATTCGGACTTGTATTGCCCATTTGGTGCAAAATTCATTTGAAATCAGATAAAGAAATATGTGGGAGCTATATCCAAATCTGAACCGATATCGATAAAATTTAGCAAAGGTATTTCTGAGCTGTATTTGATATACTTCCCTGAATATCGTTGTTACGGAGTGCATATTACGGCTGTGGCTAACAAATACAACAAATCGGATGAACAATATATATGGGAGCTATATCTATATCTGAACCGATCTTCACTAAATTGGGCAAATGTTGATTAGAAAATTTCATCTCAATCGGATAATAAATGCGACCTGCAAAACGTCTAAAATTCTACACAAGGGGTTCTTTGTGAGCATTTTACCCCCTGAAAGAGAGTTGTCTCTGTAGGTCCAGAATATCGTATAAACCCCATATTTTGATGAGTTTGTCCACATTTTTAAACGGAATTGTCTGAAATTCTATACAAGGAGTTCTTTGTGAGCACTATACCCATAGAAATAGATTTTTCTATATATGTCTACAATATCAAATATTCCCCCATATACCAGCACCTTCCGATGTTAGGTATTTTAAAGATTTTAACAAAATTTTTTATGGATTTTTTTTTTAAATGTCCTAAATCGTTCCAAACCGTGGAGGGTACCGCTTTTTTACTTGTTATTACTGCCATATAACTTATATCTATTGGATATTAAAATCTATGCTTAATGTGAGTCAATAATTTAATTTATATCCGTTAAAATATAGACCGAATTATCAAAAACGAACTAGTTCATGAAAATATTCATTCGATTTTTTTTAACTTTGCAAATACCAAGATTTGTATCGGTCGGCTTTTCCTTTTAGTACTTCCCATACATAAGGTAAAAAATTTATATAATCATAACACTCATAAATGCAAGGTAATAGTCCGATGGTCTTTAAATTTTTTGAAATTGTAATATATCTATTAACTCTAGATAGGATAGAATGGACCAATCCTTCTGGTATCTCTCTTATAAGAGATCATCATTTTGAATAACCACGACGCTCATATAATCTGAAAGAAGCGTCTGATTGTCTCCCAATCGTATTTCCCAATATTTGGACTAACTATATTATAGAACGAGCCACTCTTTCTGGCACATTCCAATATAATGGTCAAAATTTTTAATAATTATAGCCCTTATAACAATTAGATCAAAATTTTTAGTGGTACCTCCTCTCAAAGGTCAAAATTTGGCTATTTCTAATCTTTATAACATGCAAATCAAGTTAGCTATTTTCTTCAAACTCAACATATTTACTAAAAAATAAAATGTTATTAACGAGTACTCCGGTCCACTCTTTCTGACACGTAATCTACCAAATGAATGATTATAACAAGTAAAAAAGCTGTAAGTTCGGCCGGGCCGGACACTTGGAACGAATATGGCAATTCTCAAAAACAATAAAATCCGTTAAAAATTTTGTAAAAATCTTAAAAATACCGAATGTAGCTGCTATATTAGGGTCTATACGACGACATGGACCTGCATAGATAACATTTGTCATAAGCCATTAAAAATATTCAAATGCGAAACTTAAAAAATATCGTTAATACTGTCGCTAAAATCATCAAAATACCGAATATCGGGATGTACTGTTATATGGGGGCTATACGAAGACGTGGACCTGCACAGCCAATTTTCTGTCTTCGGCTGTAGTATCTATTACGAACTTCAAACACCAAATTTGAAACATTTCCATATACTTTGTGTATATTTTGAGGTGTTACAAACGGAATGACAAACTTAATATACCCTCCATACTATGGTAGAGGGTATAAAAAATCAAATGGGAAAGTGCTAAATTTAGTCCGGGCACACGAAGAGTTTGCCCTTGGGATTTTTAAATTGGAATATAAAGTGCCTAATGTACAGGAAACCGTAGTTTTTTAAGTTGAATCGATTTATTTTTGGTATTAGTGCGATTGGAGGTAGCAATACATATGAACCTACATATCGTGTTTGGTGCATCTAATATAATAATAATATAATAATAATATATATATGTATATATATATATATATATATATATATATATATATATATATATATATATATATACATTCAAAGTTCGTAATATATACTGCAGCATAAGACAGAAAATGAGCCATTTAGGTCCACGTCTTCCTATAGCCCCCACATAACGGTACCTCCCGATATTCGGTATTTTGAAGTTCGTAACTGAAACTATGGCCTAGGACAGAAAATGAGCAATGTAGGTCCACGTCTCAGTATAGCCCCCGTATAACGGTACCTCCCAATATTCGACATTTTGATGATTTAAGCTACATTATAAACAGATTTTTTTTCACGTTTCGCATTTGATTATTGTAATAGCTTATTAAAATAGTTGCCTATGCATGTCCACGTAGTCGTCGTATAGACCCTAATATAGCAGCTACATTCGGTATTTTTAAGATTTTAACAGAATTTTTAATGGATTTCATTGTTTTTGAGAATTGCCAAATTCGTTCCAAATGGTGGAGGGTATTTACTTGTTTAAGTTAATTTTATGTAATATTTATATGAGTATGCCGTAAATAATAATACGTATTTCCCTGGTGTAGTCACTCTGTAGAAGTAGTCAAAAAGTGAAGAAATACAATAAAACAGAAATCCTTTATTTATAAATAAATTATTCAATAACCATCAAAGTCATATATAACAAGTAAGCAAAGGCTATAGTCGTGCGGGGCCGACCATGTGATACCCTACAATACTACAATATGGTAGAAGCCCCTTTATGTCTAAATCCATTCTGGAAGATTTCGCTTTTAAAATGATGTCACCAGGTATATTTGCCCAATATTTACACACTCCGTCATGCTTTTAGTTGTGTGGTCCATTTTACAGATAAATATAATCCAATTGTCATCCAAAATGGTAGAATTCTTCCCTGTCCTTAACTCTCTTCTCAGACGTGTCGATTGGCTTCAATTGTGTGATCAGGAAATCTTTTCTGCTTTTGGTTCATTTGAACCCCTTAATATTTTGCAATCATCTCCAAAAGCAAGAGGCTCATCTGTATCTCCAATTTAGACTCATCTATATGACATGATTGTCTACCATATTGGCTATATTCGTCAACGAAATCAGCATAAAAAAGCCAGAAGTTGGCCTTTTGTGTATTTCGGATATCGCCTGTAATAAATGTTTTTTCACACAAAATTAGTGGTCCATTGTACCTGCTGTCCTAAACCCTAACTTTATGCGAGATTTCGTGTTCTTTGGTTTCTATTTGCGACCTAATACATTGCGGACATTTTTGAAAACAATAGCCCTAGCCCTTCTGAGCCCAACCCTACCCTTGTGAAAATTTTCGTGAGGATCGGACGATATTTGCAATACTTATATAATATTCCCAACCTGTGTTGTAAGGTGAAAAAATATTACAAAATATTATAAGTCAAATTGAAAAAATCTCATGCGATAAAAAATATGAAAATATAAAAATATGTCACAAAATACTAAGAAATCTAAATTAACATCATTATTGGCATAATTTTCTGCGATTTTTTTTAGATTTTATACTTTTATGTCAAGAGGGCAATGTGAATTGGCAAAATTTGTCAAAATCGGTCCAGCCATTCTTGAGATATAAGCATTCTAACTAACATCCCCTTCCTTTGTATATACACATTGTATATATTTCGCTATATATAACCGATACTATCGGCATCTACGCAACGGTCGGAATTGACCTGTTCGTCTATCTGTGATTTCGCCGGGATTAAAAATATTCGCGGTTTAAAGGAAAATTTGACTTTTATTTAACACAAATGTGGTCGCCTATTTCACCCACTAAATATTACCCGATGACAATCAAAATTGGAAGGCTTCTGCCCAGCCCTAAGCTCTATCCCCATGCTAACTTTCGCTTTGATTGGTCTATAATTGCGACCTGTAGAGCAACTGCAAAATCAGGAATTTTTTCAGTTTTTGTCCCATTTCGACCCCTAAATATCATGCAATCATCTCCAAAAGAAATAGGGTTCTATTCTGATCCTAGCCCCACCTCCATTCTAAGTTTCGTGAAGATCGGACCATAATTGCGGCCTGTAGACTGATTACAAATTAACATCGACTTAGATCGACTTAGCTCGGCGAGCTAGGAAGATCCATATATACTTTCCTATGTGGGAAACCAATATTTCGTGGTGTTACATAATTTTTGGCCCAATCAAACTTATAATACCTCCAACACATAGTGTTGTAGGGTATAAAAATATAATTAGAACGTTAAAACAGTTGAGAAATAATTTACAAGTTTTCGAAGTAGCACAATATAAACTCACTCATCCCTTGACATTTAACATGCATATATAGTGAATAAAACATACCATGCCTTTTATGCTTTTATTCCATATAACACACTCATTGTTACGTGTTCTTTTATTCCAACAGGTATTCGCCACATGTTGCACGTTTTATGTGCCACTGCTAGTAATTTTGGTATTATATTGGAAGATCTACCAGACGGCACGAAAACGTATTCACCGACGTCGTCCAAGGCCCATTGATGTAACAGGCAACAATAATCAGGTATGTATACAATTTTCTTTATCTGTGTCTGTATGCAAAGGTCATTGTCAGGACGACCATTAGGCATATTGTTAAGATATATATATATATATATAGACTTTGTGTCCTTTTATATTTTTGTTTTGGCACGTTTCGGACAAAGTCGCTTTTTTCTTTTTAACCAAAGAATTTCACTTTTTACCTTCCTTTTAAGGGAGCGAAGAAGCATATGTTTTCTTTTTGCCAAAGGATGAATCCTTTTTCACTTCCGAGATGGCCAGAGTTAATTTTCAAATATTGATCTCTATTTGTAACTGTTCGATGAATGGAGCTGGAAGAACGGTTGAAGCTGATGATGATGATTACTGTGTTTTAATATTGATGAACAAATGAATGATAAATTACTTGGACGTTCGTTAGTAAAGTGTTTACATGATAAACAATCCTTTTTTCTTCCTGTTGCAACACACACTCATACACACACGGAAAAACATGTCGATACATATGTATATTGGATTCTTCTAGTACCATTTTTACCTGGGAGTCATTTATTATCAACTTTCCTGCCGACAATGACTCCATCAACCTTTCCAAAAAGGCAATTCTCCGTTCATCCTCATTTCTCTTCTTTTTTACACTTTTAAATGCCAAACATCGTTAAATTGATGGATGAATGTGTTAACATGTTGGTAATTGAAAAAGGCAATATCCCTACAACCTACAAACATGGGCCATGACCACCACTGCCACTACCGGACCCATGCCCAAGTGGAGGGTAATGCGTATAAACACATGTGAAACATAAAAAAGAAGAAAAGGTGAGAGAGGCAGAGTAAAAAAACTATTCGCACAAAAACAAAGTGAAACCACCTGACCACACCGATGGACCAACACCGTTGCCGATAAACGTGGTCACTTTGTCCATATGGCTCTGATCAGACAAATTGAAGTGCAAACAATAAATTGATGTTACGCCCGCCCGGTCAGTCGGTTGTGTGTGAGTGCCTGTGTATGTGTGCGTGTGGGAAATGATTAAACTGTTTAGCCATCAACCGCATCAGTTGTCTGAAGTTACTGTCTATGCAAGTGTTGATATCTGCATAAAAATAAAAGTGAAACCACAAATTTACAAGTGTCAAGCCAGTTGGGATTACTTTTTGCTACAATATATCATTACCAGAAGGTGATGACGATGATGTCCTTCAGTTTGGGTTAGATGCTAAGTAATTTATGAAGGAGTTTTAATTTATGTACACGTAGTGGTGGGCAGACATTGAGCTATGGTATGATTTTTAAGAGCTATAAAAAAGTTTTTCCAGACCGAACTTTTAATACCCTCCATCTTAGAGTAAAGAAAACATTTTTACATAAAATTTACTGAATTCACGTGTGTTTCACTTCAAACTTCATATATCAGTAAGATCTTTTGCATAATGCAGTTAAACTTATCAAAAAACCATAAAGGGGGTGAGACCGTTATATGGGGCCATACCAAAACGGGAACCTCTGTGGAGAATTTTACACTTCAAAGATTGTCATCTATCAAATCTTTTAAAATTCCAATTATGTGGGTAAAATTGACTAGGATTATCAACATACCGAATACAAAAATACATATTCGACGGACCCATCTGGCAACGCCATAACTTTTGACAGAGATGTCACATCGCTTAATGACATACCGCGTTTGAAGCGTCAGTCCAAGCAGATTTTTACCATGAACCAATTCACGCCACGCGAGCGCTCTGAAATAGTTGAAATTTACATTCAACAGAAGAAGTCAATTGTGAAAACTCAATGTGCTTTTAAAACATTAAAAAATGTGAGAAGTGCGCCTTCTAAGAACACCATTAAGCGTTTATACGAAACATTTTCGACTGGTAAGGCTCTTTCTAATCCGAAGAGGCCATATAAAAGTCGACCAAGGCGATCGGCCGAGAATATCGCTGCCGTACGAGCCAGTGTTGAGAGGTCCCCAAGAACATCCCAAAAACGCCGATCTCAGCAGTTGGGCATGGCTCGGTCCACTTTACAACGGATTATTCGCATTGATTTGCATTTTTTTCCGTACAAAATTCAATTGACGCAAAGAATGTTGCCTGCGGACTAGCCTCGTCGATTGGAATGGGCCCAAAGAGTCATCGAAATGGCCGAAGATGACGAGCAATTTTGGAACAAAATTATCATGTCCGATGAAGCCCATTTCACATTGAATGGGACCGTAAATAAGCAAAAGTGCCGTTTTACGCCACTGAATATCCTCAGAAGATTCAAGAAGTGCCTCTTCATGACGAAAAAGTCACAGTTTGGTGCGGCGTTAATGCGAAAACGGTCATTGGGCCGTTTTTCTTCCAAAATGAAAATGGCCATGCTGTTACCATCAATCAGGAGCCAATTATTCGTCGAAAGCATATGAGGCAGTTCTGGTTTCAACAAGACTGCGCTCCACCGCACACAAGTCGCATAACAATCGATTTTCTGAAGAATTTGTTTCCGGGCCGTTTGATGTCGAAAAGTGGTGATTTGGACTGGCCACTGCGTTCACCCGATTTGACGCCGCCTGACTTCTTCTTGTGGGGATATTTAAAGTCCATGGTTTACGTTAACAAGCCAAGGGCCGTAGAAGAGCTCAAGGACAACATTCGTGAAGAAATAGCCGCTATTCCGGCCGAAATGTTGGCAAAAACGATGGAAAATGCAGCAAAAAGGGCACAATACGCCATCAACGCCAGAGGCGGCCATTTGAGAGATTTCATATTCAAAAATTGATGTAAACAAATCTACTTGGAACAAATTAAACGATTAACATTGCCAACCGCCCAATTTTTAATTTTTTCTTTGATTTTTAAAAAAACATGGGTCCGTCGAATATGGGCAACCCTGTATTGGAGTGTAGTGTAATATGTGCGCTATAGGAAATTTTTGCCACCGGTCTAGAACCTATTATGAACTAAAAATTCCCATTTGTATCAAAATATCGAATATCGGCAGGTACCGTTACATGGAGGCTATACCAAAGCGTGGACCTATACATACAATGTTCAGCCACACGAGCTAGAACCCATTATACCCTACAAATACCAATTTTTAGACAATTCCGTGAAAAAATGTGGCAAAAATTAACAAAATACCGAATATCGAAAAGTATCGTTCAATGGGGACTATACCAAAACGTGGACCAATATATCTCATTTTCAATATCCACCATCTTAAACACAATACAAATTGTTCTGCTAAATTTTGACGCTCTATGTCAAAAAAATGTAGGCTGTATTGTGGTTTCAACAGACAGAGTTCGCTATCTCTAAAGCTACATCAGAAGACTGTAATTCTTGAGGAGTATTACAGGGATGCTGCAAAAGTGAGACTACTGAACTACAACGAGAGGAGTTCAGCGATTTTCTCGAATCTCGAAATTCTAACAACTGATTAATTAGGTCTGTTAATCATTTCATATATTACTGGTGCACGACCTCATATTTATGATCAGCGGACTCGATCATTTCTTTAGTGGAGTCCTCAGACGTTTCCAAGAAGAGCATACATGTATCTAGCTCGGCACTACGAAATTCTACTGCACAGCGGTTTATTTCCTCTGGTTTCATTGCCCGAACCTGACGAAGGTATCGGAAACCCAGATGAACCTGTCGAATGGAGTGTACGACATATTTGAAAGTTTTATTTAAATAAGCAACAAATATCAAAAAGTTCACAACAATTATTTTTTTCTAATTTTGACGACTTTCTTCGAAGAGAAACTCGAAATGTTAACTAACAATTTCCGTAGGCGATCAGAAGTATTCAATTTCTCTTTACCAAATGATTTTATTCTTTTCGAGAGAAACCAATTTCCAAATAGTCTAACGGCGTTGAATGGCACGATCTAAACGACCAATTGATTCGTTCCGAACTTGAACGAAAATGCTAACCGTACTCGCCTCGTAATAGGTCAATTGTTACGCGTCCTGTGTGGCATGTTACACTGTCTTGTTCAAATCCCATGTCATGTAAGTCAAGCTCTTGCTTTTTGGGTAAAAAAGTACGGTCCAATGATGCCACAAGCCTATCAAACCACACGGAGCTGCACCGTTTTCTGGATGAATTGGTAGTTTTGCAATTGTTCTTACCGTACTTTTTAATTCCAATTGGGGTATATTTTTGAATCCAAATACCTAACTGTTAGAAGATCATCGTCCGAAGAATTTAGTTTCGTGATTAAGGGTAGCTCAAACATACCTCTCTTCTATATCCTCTATAAGATAGAGGAATTTAAATTTTATAATTCCATTTGTAAAATTCTATACATTTATGGTACTGTACCGTAGTGTTCTGTACCGTACCGAGGTGGAGTGGCACACTACTATACCGTACCGGAACACAACCCTTCAAAAAAATTTTAGAGATACTATACCGGAGCACAACGATAATCGTACTGTATCGCAGCCGGAACACTAAAAAACGTAGTGTACCGCAGTCGGAGCACTATTCGTAGTAGTATTTCACATGGAGGAACATTAAAAAACAAAAGTTATTCGCGATGGAACTCAAGCGTGATATTTGGCTGGAAAACCACGAGTGGGTATCGTTAGAGCACTCCAGCATTTAAATGTTAATAAATTTTTTGTGTCTCGTACCATCGCTCATAACCGTGATACTGGTATCGTAGCCCGACGTCAAGGAAGTGGATGGGAGAAAACAGCAACATCAGCAGAAATGGTCAGCAGAGAAATCAGAAAAATGGCCATTCGGCAAATATTGAAAAATGAGATCGGGATAAAGCCATTGAAATTCCAAAAAGTGCAAGAATTTACACCGCAACCGAAAGAAAATAGACTCAAAAGAGCGAAAGAGTTGCTTCGCTTGGCCGAAAGTGGTGAACTGCCGAATTTGGTTTTCTCCATGAGAAAACATTCATTGTCCAGCAGTTTGTAAACAAACAGAATGATAGTGTTTACTTGCCAAAGAGGTCAGGTGAAAATGTGCACCTTCGCTTGGCCACCAGAACTTAAGCGCCGGGCATG